ATATATATATATATATATATATATATATATATATATATATATATATATATATATATATATATATATATATATATATATATATATATAGTGATATTAACAAGTTATGTGTTGAAAGTTGATCGGAACCATTGCATCACTAAACAGATAAGAATGAGTCGCTATCCAATTATCACACCTTATCGAATTTATGCTGAGGAAAAGCTGGTAGTGAGGAAGGGAAAAAGAAATAAAATGATAGTTTAGAATATTGGTAACCCAAGAAACCCTTAGGCTTAGTTCGATGATATGATAGTTAAATCCCTTCCAATCAATCTATTAGTGGTTTTATCTGTTAATAATACTTCATTTGAATTGAACAATTTCTAATAATTAGATAATTTTAATTCCACGATAGTTGAGATGGTGTTGTAAAAGATGAAACTATCTTAACAAGCGATATGCTTTTGTATAATTTTTGAAAATTAGAGGGGTAGGCGGGAGGAAAAAACTGAGATGAACAGCATTAATCAACTTTGAATATTTTTTCTTCTAGTGGTTAGCTTGCTTGCCTGTACGCTTGTTTGCTTAGTATCTGCCATTTTGAGAGGAAACACGTATGTCTCGGATATAGCAAAATGACAAATGGAACTTGAGTAATTCATTTGGTTCCTTTAATAGATGACATTGAAATCAATAATTTAACAAACTAATTTAATTGCTATTCTGTGAGGAAAATACTCGAAATACGGAATGTCACAGCTGTGATACTGTCAACTGAAATCCAGTGAAATCGAAACTTGATCAAATCATCATAGTCGGAACGATTAAATTATATTCGATATGGCATCGAAAGTTTGCCACGTTGCTTAAAATATATTTGTAATGTTTTTGAAGTTATATCTAAACAAATTGAAGATTCTAAAGGAAGTCAACCTTCAATCAAACTGCGAAACGAAATATTTGTGATGAATAAATGAAATAACTTTATAAAAAGATACAACCTCTGGATCAAAAATTTTATAAGATCATAAGCAATAAAATTATCATCAATTCCGTCTTAACCTCACAATAGAATGACACGTAAAGTATTAAATCAAAACAAGGTGGGGTCTTTTTCAAGGGAATTCGGGATGTTTGTTTCATGATAGGGTAAAAAGAGAACATGATAAGTTGTATTACTTGATTATGATGATATTTACGAGTAATATCAGATCATTATCAATTACTACACTAATCTATTAGCAAATTCCTTGGATGTGGTTAAGGAACAAGAAGAAAATGAATCAGTTCTTTGACGATTCACATTTCCGCTCAGTTATTTGACCAATTCTATTCTGTCATTCATGTTCGATAACCAAAAATTATCCTTTTGTCAATTTGAGAAAACTTCATTTAGAGTAAATATCATTTACATTCAATCGCAATGATGACGTTAGCGGCAAATTAAAACAGTAGAGAGTTGATGCACTGGATAAGTAAAAGGAATCATGTCCTGAATGATGGCATTGATATTAGGGACATAGTTTTATATAGTTAGACTAGCCACACAAGTAAACTTAACTGATCTGATCAATAGCCTAAACATAAAATACTTATCATTTGCTAGGTTCAGTGTCATTTCTTAGAATATCCAAAAGCCTTTAACTGGAATGGAAACCTTTGGAAGTACTAGCAGTTATGACAACTCAAGATTTAACGAAACAAGGTGAGGGGGAGGAAAGGGGAGAGGTGGTAGTAGTATGCAATTTCAAAACAACACATACGTAGGCGGGGGAAGGAGGGGGAGGTTAAAGCAACCAGCCATCACTAACACCCTCCTTCCCATCCATCCACACACCCTTTTGAACATCGGACGGGACGGGACGGGGTGGCAAGCAACACACTCGTCCATCTACGCGTACACACACACACACACACACATACACACACATACACATACACACACACGCACATACACACACACATACACACACATACACACATATTCAGATGCTCTCTGACTGAGCGATCAAGAGGGGTTAGGGTGGGAGGAGGTGACAGGGAGGGGACAACCCCGCGGGGCCATCCCATTTTCGCCAGAATGGCAGAGTAAAGTGAACCCCTTCTACAAATATTTATATAACCCCCATCCCCCCCCTCCCGCATTACCATTAGCCGGACATACCCGCGTGCTACCCACCTATTTATCCACCTACCCATCCAGTATTTCCTCTTCACATCACGTTACGCCTCCTGATCTCCTGTCACTTTCATCGCTGTCTGAGCATTTCCTCCTCTTCCTTTTCCTCTTCCTCCCCCCTCCGCCTCCTCCCCCTTCCTCCTTCTTCCCCTCCTTTACTTCTCTTTCTTCACAACCCCGTTTAGTAATCATGTTTGGACCTGGAAAGAAGGGTAGGGAAATGGGCGGATGGATGGAAAGGAAGCATTCTTCCTGCCTTACCTTCATCTCTTCCCCCTCCCCTCCATACGATCGTCTGTTGTTATCGGAGCCAAAGAGCATCATAAGCCCAGGAATACGTCAGAGCCAGTTGAGATACCAGAAGAAAACCCCTTCCCTACCCTTCCCTCCCACATCTTCGCAGCCACCTACCATCCTACGAGGGTCTGTTTCCGGATGCACCACCCGTCTTCATCGATCCGAAAACTGCGCGTAAAGCTCTATCGCAACTTCCTAATAGTGAACACGGAGGATGACGAGGGGTCTTCAGGCTCTTCCTGGGAGACAACTCGCTTCCAGGCAAAACGGTCCCCTCCAATTTCTTCTTCCTCTACCCTTTCCCTCTTCTCCAATTCTCAAATCTTTTCAGTTATAACCAAATACTAATCCCCTCTTCCCCCCTTCCTGCTTATTGCCAACAACATTTGGAGAATAATCCATTGTAGCGGTTATTGCCTGTCCATTTCACGGTCCTATTTCTTCAAACTATCTGTAATAAAACACAATGTCACATGTTAATTTCATCAGTAATGACAATAAATAAAACTTACAGAAGCAAGTTTGGCTGAGAATTGCTGGTAGATGCCATCAGATGTGATGATGTTTCAGGTGTATCTTCGGGTCATTCGGAATTCGATGGTCATTGTGTCATGCGCATTGCAAACGGAACACTTTGCCACTTGCACTCTGCAAGTCTGCAAAAACATATTACTTAATCTAATTTTTGCTTACTTGCACAGAATTATTTATAAAATTCGATTGATTTATTTCACAAATGTCATGTGTGATCAATCGATATGTTGACATTGCTTGAACTTTTCATTTTCGACATTATTCAAATATGATCCGATGTAAATACACTTAATCATATCAGCGTGGCTACTTCTCACTCAATCTTTCCACCATCAACATATCAATATCTTTGGAAGACAGGCAACAAGTCTTTTCTTGTGATTACGAATAGATGATACGTGATATCTACTATGGGCGGATGTTATGTATCTCCGAGGGATCTCTCTCTCTTTTGACATATTAAAGAACAAATGTACTGGTTATTCAGCACAACATACTTGTTTGGTCATATATAAAGTTCTGACCGATGGTTTGATCTTGATAGTCTATAAATGAAAGTATCATTTCGGGTTTTATCAAGTTACTAGGATGAAACGTAGTTCAAATTAGATCTTGTAAGAGAATTCATGTTGTTTGTATTCACGTTGTTTATATGCTTAAGTCTTATGTCTCCTAAGATTTACTATACATCATGTGTACGTCTGCCTCCCCTTATTACCTGTGCTTCATAAGCATCGTTAGCATGCATATATCGTCAATCATAGATAATGAACGGAATGTAACGTTGAAAGATAATAAACTTGAATGTAATCTTTTTGGAATTAAGTTAACTTGAAGAGGTGGACTGTCATCCTTTTTATCCCTACTTTGGTTGATTTGGAAAAGTATTAAAAAGTAACTAGTCAAAAAGCGAAAATTTGCGAAAGATTTTTTGACTAATACAATATTATTAGAAGCAGTTGATTTTGCCTGTATAGTTTGATATTTGAATTGAGAAATGTTCCATAGTACTAATGGTAATTAGTTAAAACGATAATCTGTTAAGACTTATAGATTTGGCCGACTTTAAAATGAGACTGTCTTCTTGTGCGATCAATTTTGGATTGATAAAAATTCAAGTGAAAATTGATTGCCTGTCTTTTTTTAACAAGTAAGAGTTTGTGCAATCATATCTATACTTCGGTCAAAAAAGAAAAGGCAATAATTTCAATTAAAACGAACAATAAATTGTCAATTCTAGAAGGACTCGTCATTTCACATTTTTCTCATCTGTTTGTCACTGTTGTACATCTTTGAAATATTCCAATCATTATCATTCCTATCTTAAATCACTTGTTTTCACTGAACATCATTTCCAGGTGGAAAAACCGGCTGTGCGATTCAATATTTTACTAATCTTTTAAAGATATAAAAAAATGTGAGAAATTTCTGAACTGGTAAATTTGAGTAAGGAAGAGGAATTTTGCAAGCCATGGATTTCTGCTTGTTAAATTTGAGTAAGGAAGAGGAATTTTGGAGATTATGGACTTTTACTGAAAAATGAAATATTGCAACAATTTGTACTGTGCAAAACTTTGTAATACACTATTGTTCTAAAATATGAAGAAAATACATCGAAAGAAAGAGCATCTCAATAACTTGATATTGAAAAATACATCAACAAAGCTTAAATGATAAATGATAAGCATATCACTGTTAGCTAAATTGTAAGCTTCAATAAATGAGAGAAATATCACTTTCAAGAGTACCTAGTGTTCATATAATTGAGGCGAATCGAAAGGATCAACAGCGCTTCTTCCGCAGAATCAGCTTCTTATCTTTGATAAAGAAGAATTGAATGAATTATTAATCTGATATGCAAATGATATTTTGTTGACGTTTTATAATGATAAAAAAAGAAAAAAGCAGAACAGAAATACGGTCCGCACAATGATAGCTTAAAGAAGATTGCTTTGTTCTCTCAGTTGAATGCTTCAGAAAACAATTCATTCCAAAGTTTCTGTGGTAAATGATAATGAAATCATTTCAAATGTAATTAAATTTTTCGGAACAACAAATCTGTACTTTTGGAAAAATAAAACTTTCATAGAATGCTAATCCAAGCATTGTTGTAAGTTAGCATTATAAATGCTTATATGAATAAGAAAGAAACGTTCACCCTTTCCGTCGTTGTCTTTTGTATTAAATGATGTATTTTTGATTAATATCCCCATTAAAGTGAGAAACAGAATTACTTAAATTTATCGACTCATTTCATTTTTCTTAAAACTAAACTTTATATTAGAACAATAATTATCTCGGCCGTAATAAGCTCCATATTCGGAGGGTTAGGTTTTTTTTTTTATAACGCAAAATTGTTAGTTATCATTATCACTACTCTTCCTTATGCCGCTTCCGTTCATTATCAGATCATCCTTATCACAAATTGCTATTCTGATTGCTATTCTTCCCGATCATTTTAGTTGCCTTTTAAATTCTAAAAGGGTTGTGCAACGGAGCACAAAAATATTATCATTGATAAAAGCTGATAAAAAAGAAATTAGGCAAAGCAGAAACAAAATGAACGATGAGAAAGGTAATATTAGACCAATGAATTTTGATGTTACTTAATTCGGAAGATGAAAAAAAAATATGACAAGGAGACGAAAAAAGGCACGGAAAAGAAATAATTTTTTTTTAACCCTTCACCTAATCTTCTTAAATTCTTAAAAAATCCCCAAACAGGATACATTTTTTTCCTTCTAACATTCTTCATCCATGGACTTGACAAAATTTCGTTTGTTGTTTAAATAACGATTATTGATTGCGACTCTAAAATTTACTCCAGGACTTTATTGTTTTCGTACATCAAACATATTTGTAATCTAGTTATTTTGCATGCATTTAGATTAAATGATCTCCACGGACACCTTCTTCCACGGGGGAAAAACTTTCATGGCCTAATGAGGTTGTGAGTTAAGCTAGTGATTGCATATGCCTTCGATAGAGTCTCCCGTGCCAGACAAGTCTCAACTGAAGGGTTGGATAAAGTATGTTCACGGATAGGGCTGGTTCGTTAGTCCACGGTCAATCATCCAAAACTAGCCAGATGGAGCTCGTTTAGTCCTGTAAGACCAACCATTTCAGAGAACGATTTTTTAACTAAACGTATGTTCTAAGGACTTGACTGCCACCCTCCTAGCTTGCAGCCTCTAGCAGACGAACCTTAGGAATAAAAGATGGGGTCCAATTCCGCTCACGCTGAGCCTAACTAACAAATTTATTGCGCAAGCTCGAAGGATACATTCACATTTTTAGTGTTTGCAGCAAGTGTGGGCAGAGCCTTTTCTAAATCGTTCGCAAAGTCTAGCCATGATGATAATGATGAAGTTAATTGAGTTAATTGATGTGATGTCAATTAGTGAACTTAAATAATACATTAATTAATCAATGTGTATCTAACTTACCAATTATGCATTGTACTGTAGTGTATAATGAATGATTATATGAGATGTTTAACTATATAATTATAAGATTTTATATAATGACTATAAGACATTTCGTCATTTCAAATTTCATCTAAACTATAAATTACAGTATACAAATCTACTATTCGACTTACTACTTAAAATGTGCCATAAAAGCCAAGTGCTTTAACCTATTTTAAATCATATAGATGACAGTAGATGACAAATAATCAAAAGATGATGAATAATGAATGTTGGTGATGAAGATGATGAATGATTTTTTTCTAATGAATGATGAATGTTCTTTTATATTAGAATGTTGATCAATTTGCCATAAATAAGTTTCATCTTTATTTTAGTATTAATTACGTAATTAACATAATTAACGACATATCTCATATCCAATTCATTTTTACAATCAATATTTGATGTTAATTGTTTCCATTAACAGCTTAGCTTCGAACAATCCATTTGAATTACACGAAGGATTTATTATTTTTGAAATGCATTACATTCCTAGCATTTTGTAATACTAAGCGTCAATCGTAGTTGGCGAAATCATCACTGATTCAAAATCAGACACTGAATGTAAATTTGAATTTAACAAAATGGAACCAATCATAAGTAAGTTTTTAAGATACACCATGGTTATAGTAAACACTAATCACAAAGAATACTGAAAAGATGTTATCACTCTTCACATCCCATAATTAACAACACTCATTTGCTGGTACTAAAATATCTCAACTGCTTCTTTTAGTAAATTGTCTCAAATTTACTAAAAGGATTAGTAAATGATAAAAATAATGTATATACGAAATTTTAAAGTCCAATTTTTATTAATTTTTAGAAGGGAACAGTTATATTAAATCAAGGAATTTGTTTTCATTCATTTTTCCTTTTAACTGATCAATCTTAGGAAATGACTCAATTAGAGAAAAGTATGTTATGATATGAATCAAATCATTCTTCCAGCAATTACGTACCAAGAATAAATAATTTTAATCTTCTGTTTAAATATTTTTGCATTTCATTATTATTTTCTTATTCACAATCATATGATGATGTCATGTGTATGTGAACATACAAGCAACATGATAAGATCAAAATGAAAAATGATATTAATTAAATGCAATATTTGTTAGCCGTTTGCAATCGCTCAGGATATGAAGTAAATTTTCATCGTCCATTCAAGGATTATTTAATTATTTGAATACAAATGTTTGTTGATTACACACAACTGCATGTAAATTTATATGTCGCATAATTTGAAGCATTTTAATTGCAAATTTTTGAACAGCTCTTTTTCTTATAATTGAATTATTTTTCACTTTTAATCAATAACTAAGCGATTTCCTTCCCATCACTTTTAATCAACAACAATTTAATGAATGCAATTCCAATCAAATTGATAGGACTTGAAAATACTTCAAATACTAAATGCAATACAAATCATTAATAACTAGTGGTGGCTCCTGGAAATATACCACTGCGACCATTTTTTTCGGTCGCGCAAACGTCGAATGGCGTAAATGTCGTTGTGGTGCAAATGTTGCATAGTGCAAATGTTGCATGGTGTAAATGCCATATGCCCAAATGTCACTTGGCGTGAAAGTTGCGCGCGCAAATGTCGTATGTATATGGACGGTTAATTCCAACACCAGTAATGTCTCAGTTGAATTTTTAGTAACAATTTATGGTAAAAGTTCTGCAAGTTCTGCAAGCAATGCATTTCTTCCATTTTTGGCTGCTAATTAACTTGGAAATTGATTAATAATAGATTAGTTGTTGAAGATAGTTTATATCGTAAGGGAGATGGCAAGTTTAAATGATGAAATTTTAGAGAATGTTATCGGTGAAACCGAGAAAATGTTGTAAGTTGTTTTAATTAGAATTCAAAATATTTCTTAAGCAAATGATTACACAAAATCAATGAATATTTCGGTACTCAAAGTGATGAATCACTTATCCAAATCCAATTTTTCCAATTTTTTAAGCAATTTTAATTGTAATTCTTAAATGTTGGAAAGAAAATTTTTGGTTGTAAACTTTTCCCCGTCCGTTAATAGAGCTTAATGCAGTTGTAGGAATGTTGTAAAGAACTTGTCTGCAAATGCGGGAATTTCGTAAAGAATCTCTAGTCTGGCAATTAAACCAATGTGTCTGGAATGTCAAACCATTCCCATTAAAAAACTCGAGCAGTCACTCAATCCAACAGTTCCCGCAATTTCCCAATCCGACAGCTTTCTAAATTACTCAATTGGACAGCTCACGCAAGCACTCAAGGAGACAGCATAGACAGGCAGGCATTCAATTACCACAACGATTCAACGGCAGAGAAGCGACAAAATGACAGTTCAACAGCACGAGCGACAAGACTATTTGGTATGTATCCTTTAATACTTACCATATAT